TACATATAGCTGATTCAGTTCATTGTACAGCAGAAACTAAAACAACATTGTAAAGCAATTATACTCCAATTAAAAAAAAAACCCTAGAGTTTTAAAAGTAAAGCAACAGGGCTTCCCTGGTGGCGCAGTGGTTGAGAGTCTGCCTGCCGATGCAGGGGACACGGGTTCGTGCCCCGGTCCGGGAGGATCCCACATGCCGCGGAGCGGCTGGGCCCATGAGCCATGGCCGCTGAGCCTGCGCGTCCCGAGCCTGTGCTCCGCAACGGGAGAGGCCACAACAGTGAGAGGCCCGCGTACCGCAAAAAAAAAAAAAAAAAGTAAAGCAACAAAACAAAACAAAAGCAAAAGGCTTAGGTCCTTTTCTTTTTAATGACTACCATGAGTGAATACTGACTCAGACTTGCTTATCAAAGAATGACAAAATGTCATTTTTAGCAGCGTAACAACATTTTCTCTTTAATAAAAATAAATGAGGACTTAAGGCTGTCTGGGAGGGAAATGCTTATGAATTGGCGAAGTATTTTCTCCTGAGAATGATACTAGGTAAGCAAGGTGCAATGCAAGGGCAACTAATTAGGAAGATTTCAGAACTGTGGAGTATGCTGGGAACTGGCTTGTTTCTGGCTATGGTCCCCTTAAGGTGAATTCTGTCTGGTGATTAGCATCACCTCGGATTAAATTAATTGGCTGTACTCAATCCCTGAGTGGATACACTAAGAATAAATCCAAAGACATTAGTTTCCTTGCACGAAACAAGCAGGGTACATATCTGGTAACATTTATGGGAATCATTCAAACAACTTAACCCATCTTTTCCTTTATAAGGGAAGTTTCAAGTTCTGGTAAGTACAAAACTATTTAAAATCTTTATTTTGAAAATAATCTATTTTAGCCAGTTGTACTTTATTTTACATATCTAGCCTACATATTTGTGTTCTGTATGTAACCATTAGAAAAACAATAAATACTGCTAATATTATCTTTACCCAAATATGCAAGAAACATTCACAATATGCTGATATTAAAGTAGGAGGGAACTTCAGTATCAGGAAATCAAGCAATTCGAGTGTATTAAAACATGGGTAAAGTTTTGTTTTCTTCTGATTATAAAAGCTCTGCTAACTCTTTAGAGCAATCTGTGCAATACCTTAAGAAGGAGGAAGTTGCTTGTGCTTCAGCAGTGCTGCGGCTGCCGTGTGCTTCTCTTCTGAACCCTCACCCCCAAGGCCACCCCACAGCATTATGACCTGTGAGATGAACTACTTTTTCTTGCAGCATCAGATCTCTGAATTGCTATAGAACATTATGACTATACCTCTCTTATGTTTTGTTTTCTACTTCATTTTTCTTTCTGAATTGCTTCAATTCCTACTACATGCTAGAAAAGTAAATTAAAAATGTAATTAGGACACGATGCACCTGCATCTTGTGAATCGGTCATCTGTTTTGTCAAGAGAGTAGTGGAGAGAAGGTACAGCCCTCTTGGTAGAGGCAACTATTTAGCTCTGAGCAGCACAGATGATTCAGACCAATGAAGGCGCGGATCAGCAATAACAATGGTTGGACCTAGTGAAACAAAGGGTGTAAAAAAAAATCCGGTTTATGTTAAAAAGCAATACAAGTATCCATGACAGGTCCCTGGTCTGACTATAGGCAATGAAGAGCTTGCAGAGAAGTGGGGAAGATATCGATAGCAAGCGTCAGGCCATTAGAAGAAGATTTCAATATAATTTGGGCTGGAGGCAAGAGACTGTTAGCTGGGTCCTTTGCTACCTCTAGGGCAGTCGGTGGTGAGGAAAGTAAGACCCTAGCTTCCGCTTTTCCCTCTGTCCACCTCCACTTCTCCTCCCTCAGCATAACCTGCTGGGACAAGAATTAGACCACTTTAAGTACTCAGTGTTTTTGTTCCCTACAGAGCCCCTAAGTATCCTACTGCATTATCCGATTTCAGAGGGCAAAGAATTAACCTTGTTATCTAAAATGTATGTAAATAAACATTAAAAAAATTTCCATCCAAATAATTCCGATTAGTCTTTAAAGCTGATTACGAAAGGTGCACAACTACGACAGGGTAGCTAAAAGTTGTGGAGGCTGGTAGCTCTGTTTCACAAAAGCAGACACCCTACTGTCGAGGCTGACTGACTGCGTCGCTGCTCTGCTCGTGCACTGGCAGAAGCTGCGCTAATCCCTGCCATCTTCCTGGAGGGCATCCCCCCACTCTGTGCCTCTGGCATCTCAGCTGTACACAGCTCTTCCTCTGGAGACCGCCACCTCTTCCCACCCTCAGCAACTCTCCTTGATGTTTTCATGGTACCGTGACTCTTCCTCAATTGTGCTACTGAATTACTCTGTGATCTTCCCATGGACACTGTAGGACATACATATGATGATGTCAAGGCAAAGGCTGAAACACTCCCTCTGGAACGAATCAACTTTGCACTCTGTTCCCCAGTGATGATACTGTGCACTGTATGCACAGAGATCCTTTTATTCACCCATAATACTGACTCTTCACCATGCTCTGTGCAATGCCCACCTCACCACAGGCTCTTAAACCTTACCCGCATGTATGCAAAATCTCAACACTCTCCAAAACTTCCCCCAGTGACTCCTAGGAGTTCCCAGAGATCCTCTTACATGCAACTAGGACCAGAGGAACTTGTATTTTCACTTTGCTTTCGCTACAGCTTCCTCATCAAGGTGCCTGGCAACTACCCTGCTGCAAGTACTTGCTCTGTAAGTGCTCCTCCACTGCTGGGCATATGGCATCTCCCCAGGATGTGGTAACTTCAGCTTCTTCCCTTCACGCATCAGGTTCAAAACCAATGATCAGGACTGAGCAGCAGTGGGATGGGGACAATGGGGGCCATTTCTTCCCTGCAGTTGACCCTGTCTTCCATGGTCTCCTTTCTGGTCCCAGCACAGAATCTCCTTTCTCTTATTTTAGCCCAAAATGAAGAAATCAAAACCAACAAACCCTCCCAAAGAAGACCCTTAGCATATCAGCTCACATAACTGTGTTCTCAACGTGGCGACCAGGTCAACGGCTCTCCAAATAGTGAGATCCAGGCAGAAAACCACTGCAATTAAAAGCCTCACTACACACTTCCACGTAGATAAATATAATTTCCACAATTAGGTGAAAAATGTGTCTCAAACATTATTCATGTAAAATATTTTCAAATAAATACTAAGTAAACCAACCTAAAAAGTAGTTAGAGGCAAAGAGTTCTGAAGTCTTGTTTAAATACTGAAGGAATTCATCCCTTTCACAGCTGGTGAGGGCCTGGAGATTCAGGGCATGGCGCAGTTTATCAGCTGAGGATGAGGGGAGATTGAGGTTTCGCTGACTCCACCGCAAACCTGGATTCCCCAGCTCCTGATGCGCATGCTTGCTACAGCTGCCTTTAGTGTCTTAAGTGTTATCATTACCTTAAACTGCTTGGGAAGAGAGAAGGGGAGACACATCTAATTTCTAGGCTGATCTTTGAATGCATTTTCCTAAGTTACATATAAATGAGATTTGTAAATCGTATTGGAGATAAATGAAGATTCTTAGAAAACAGCTTGCAACCATTTAACTAGGTGATTTGGGCCAGATTTATAGCTGATTTATAATGACAGACATGCCTTGTTCATCTCTGTAATACTGATCATATTTATTTAGTTTGTTCAATTTGTCTTCAAGGCTGCAGGGCATTCTTACTCTGTCAAAAGACACCAACAATTACATTGATTTCAAACCACAGAAAATAGCCACACTAGGCTACCAATGAAAAACAAGCCCAGCATCAGATAAACCCTCCCACAAGCTGCTCAGCTGTCAGTCAGACTCTGGCTTCACTTGGAAAGTGGAAGAGAAAAACCTCAGTGATTGGTGAAAATGGCTCTTAAATTCCCTCCTGAAGTGCTCACTTTAGGACCACTACGGGGAGTAGTAACCAGATTGCACCATTTTAAGCAGCCCATAGTAATGTCAGTCATTCTAAAAATGTTTGTTTAGTGCAGCGTTTCCCAAAGTAAGATTAGTCGTGTGTGAGATAACTTACCTGCATGTTCTACAATCTGTAATGGAAACATCTTACACTACCTTAACGTGGCCCTTATTTAAGGATATATATGATACATTCCTTCTAGAATTTAATGTCAGGAGCCAGTCTCCTCTAGATGAGTTCATTTGATTCCATCCAACAGACAATTTGAACTTTATAAACTTTTCCTGTTTTCTCCCTTGAACTGCCAGGACATGCAGAACTAAATCGATCAGTTGCAAAACTCTCTTTTCTCATTGGATGATGGGTTCTGATTTTTTTTTAACTGTTCAATAATACCTGCTAATTTTAAAGAGTCACAGAATTTGGCAATGTATAAAAACATTATCCATAGCTCTGCCATCAGAGATAACCCACCATCAACAATGGGCTGTGTATACTCCACACTTTCTCCTTCTAGTATAATAAATATTGTACACATTGGCAATGGCATAGCATGTGTATTCTATAAGCTGCTTTTTCACTTAGTAATAAATAGGTCATGACCATTTTTCTATGCCAATAAATAAAGCCATGTTCAACGGCTCATAGTTTTCCATGGGTGTATACATCATGATTTATCTACCTAGGCCCTTACTAGTGTCTTTAGGTTGTTTTTAATGTTTCAGTTATAAATACCGTTACTTAACTGCTGCTTTTATGTCTTTTTTTTTTTTCTTTGCGGTACGCGGGCCACTCACTGTTGTGGCCTCTCCCGTTGCGGAGCACAGACTCCGGACGCGCAGGCTCAGCGGCCATGGCTCACAGGCCCAGCCGCTCCGCGGCATGTGGGATCTTCCCGGACCGGGGCACGAACCCGCGTTCCCTGCACCGGCAGGCGGACTCTCAACCACTGCGCCACCAGGGAAGCCCCTGCTTTTATGTCTTATTTTAAGCCCCGAAAGTTATCTTTCAAAATAGGGAGGTATAATGAATGAATCAATGAATGAATGAATGAAATTCGAGGAACAGCTATCGGTAGCTGGCGTTAGCATTAGCACCTATTCTTCATGGTGTGAAGATGAATAATTTCCTTCCCTTCTCCAGGTCTCAACCAAAATGAGTGAAACTCCTTCCACCAGTTTTTCCATGATTCGTCGGATTTCTTCTGAAGGTCAGGTTCCTTCTCGCCAGTTGGGCGTCACTCAGCCTGTCGTGGCCAAAAGGATCAGCTTCTACAAGAGCGGAGACCCGCAATTTGGCGGCGTCCGGGTGGTGCTGAACCCTCGTTCTTTCAAGACATTGGATGCTCTGCTGGATAACTTGTCGGGGAAGGTGCCCCTACCCTTCGGGGTGAGGAACATCAGCACCCCCCGAGGAAGGCACAGCATCACGCGCCTGGAGGAGCTGGAGGACGGCCATTCGTACCTGTGCTCCCATGGCAGGAAGATGCAGCCGGTGGACCTGGAAAAGGCCCGCCAGCGCCCGCGGCCCTGGCTCAGCAGCCGGGCCCTCAGCGCGCACGTGCAGCGCGCACGCGCCGCCGCCGCTTCCGCCGCTCCCGGCATGCTGCGCGCGCCGCGGCGGCTAGTCGTTTTCAGGAATGGCGACCCGAAGACGAGACGTGCAGTCCTCCTGAGCAGGAGGGTCACGCAGAGCTTTGAGGTCTTTCTGCAGCACCTGACGGAGGTCATGCAGCGCCCGGTGACCAAGCTCTACGCCACGGACGGAAGGAAGGTGAGCACCGTGAGGGACGTGATGGCGGCCCCGGGGAAGGAAGGCTTTTCCCGCGCCTGTGCGTGCTCCCTGCTCACGGGAGGGCGCTGGCTCCCCCCCTCCCCCCGGTGGCTGTTCGTTTCTGGGTCAATGCAATGAGGCGTGGGCCCTGTGGGGCTCTTTGTTTTTTCCTCGCATGCTCCGTTCCCTGAGCCTCACGTTATAGAATGTGTTGGCACAGAACCTGCCTCGACGGTATTTCTTGAAAAGGTGTGGCCAAGAGTGACGTTCTGTTGGGTACAGAAAGCCTTTTCCTGTGACCTGTGTGTCACTTTCCCGGTCCTGGTGTGTCCGTCAGGCCCTTTCCCAGCTGGATGCTTGAGTGGGGAGGACAGGGGCAGTACTGTGTACCCTTTAAAGGTTTTTTTGGTTATGATGGCAGAAGACCGGTCGGCCTGTGCCAGCTGTGGGCTGAAGACGGGTGTTGGTTTAACACCCCCTTCCCCCCATACCCTTGGTTCTTCGATATTTTGTATACGTCATTTGGTGCCCAGCGAGTGGTGGGTGATTATCACTTTCAAACCCAGGAGGCTGTTGAGTTAATCAGTTATAAACTCACCGTATGGAAAGAACAAAACTTCATGCTGCTCATGTCAGGACCATAACTCTTTGATTTTTCCCCCCTAGGTTACCAGTCTCCAGGCTGTGATCCTGAGCTCTGGAGCTGTGGTGGCAGCAGGAAGGGAGCCATTTAAACCAGGAAATTATGACATCCAAAAGTACTTGCTTCCTGCTAGATTACCGGGAATAATCTCTCATCGTGTGTACCCCAAGGGAAATGCTAGGTCAGAAAGCAGAAAAAGTAAGTCACTTAAATATATAGCCCTTATTTTTAGTCCTGAGTTGTTTTTTTTTTTTAACCTCAACAACAACAAAAATTCATCTTAAATGACCGATTTCCTTCATCACAGAAAAGGAGAGGATCAAAACCTTCTAAACTGAAAGATCCTGCATGCCGCACTGCTTGACCAAAAAAAAAAAAAAAAAAAAAAGAAACCTCTAACTACACATACATGCTCTACTTTCTGAAGTTATTCCAGTAAAAGTCACAGGCCCTTAAATCCACTTTTTATTTATTAAAAAAAAAAGGTTTATATAGCCAGTTCATGCTGGTTAACAGTACTCTGGATTGATAGTTCCTTAGGAAATGCCGTCTAATGAGACGTTATCCTTTGGATAGGGGAGGAGGAGTGCTTCTTGACACCCAAGAATGTGGGATAGGCTGTAAATTCCCTTTTTCAGGCAGAGCTAATCTCATTATTTACAGTGCTCAGTATTTTAGCTCCAGGCGAATGTGTTGATTGCCATTTACACTTCCTTTTTAATTTTTATTTTATGTAAACATGGAATGGTACATTTTGAGTGGTGTTAATTCCTTTACTTATTGCTGAACTAGGCAGACTCAACTATTCCTTCCTGTTGTTCTTTAGTTATTTCATGGATACGCTAATAGCCAGTTCATGTGTCTGTTCTGTAGGCGTCAGCTGCCCAGGATCTTATGTGCAGGTAGTGTTAGTTCACCCTGGTCATTTCATCAGAATGATTTTATTGTCTTCTGTCTGATGTGGGTTTCTGAGCATGATTTTTAATGGCTTCAGGGAATCTGAGGGCTTTGTTAAGTTTTACTTTAAGAAATGATGAGTGAGACAGTTTCATTTATAATTTTGGTGAAAGTATACCAAAAATTAAGAGGAAGTATCTCTAGGCTTATCCTTTGAAACTAAAGGTATTTAATTGATGGTAAGAATGTGCACATCTATACAAACTACTAATTTGACTGAGTTTAGAAAGCATGAGTTCCAAGGTTATCTCTAGAGGTACACATTAAAAAAAAATACCTAGATATCTGGGTCTTTGACTAGCTCTGTTCTCTTTTGTGACTGATATTAAATAAATGCACTGATTATACAAAATGAATGCTAAATTCATAATTATTACTAGATTAACCTAGCCTTTAAAATAAATTCTAAAAATGTTTTTACTTTCATAATGGTATAGATATCTCTCGTCGATATACACAGGTAGGAAAATGAATACCACCGTAAATTATTACTTGCTTATATGAATAGGTAAGCAGCACTTGGTTAGACCCCAGTTTCAGTACTGGTGAACAGAATAAAACAACAAAACCAAATCCCACAAAAATCTCTTTATTTTTGCTAAAATCCTTAGCAATTTCTACTTTATACTTTCCTTTTTAAAATTGTCTTATTAAACTCATTAAGATTAAAATTCTCTGAATTTCCTCATTGAAGTAGAGTTATAAGTTCTCTTTTAAAGAGTAGTTTGTAGAAATGTACCAGATATTACAGTAAACTAAATTGATGAATGAATATATAGAGGTGAGAAACTTATTAACAATATCTTACTATGAAATTTAGGAAATATGGTATTTTTCTTACTAATAATTTTTTGTTTTCTTTCTTTGCTGCCTCTTCTGTTGGATATTTATAACTTCTCTGTCTTCCACATTATATTTTGATGTGGGGCATCTTTTACTTTTAAAATCTTGAAAGTGAGCACACATGTACCTTCAAGCCCAAGGTCTCAAATTTATTCTGTTTCTTCTGACAAAATGCAGAGTAATGATTGCTACTCAGACCATTCCTTTGCTTCTGAAAATTACTTGGCCTTAGAAAAAAATGGTTCTCAGAATTTATTGATATATCCTTCTGAAGATGATGTTGAGAAATCAATTATTTTTAATCAAGATGGTACTATGACAGTTGAGATGAAAGTTCGATTCAAGATAAAAGAAGAGGAAACCATAAAATGGACAACCACTGTCTGTAGAGCTGATCTTTCTAATAATGATGAAAAGAGTGAGGTAAGCAGTTTCCCAGGAAGAACAGATGATGGATCATCTGGTTTAAAGATTACAGCATGTTCATTGTCTGCAGATGTCTCACCTCTGGAGAAAGGCAGTATTCAAGAGGGCAGTTTGGCAGAGGAGATCAGCAGTCCAATGAGAGATCAGGATACTGAAACTTGCAATTCTGCTAGTTGGGAGAATGCTGCTATGGACACAACTGCCACCCAGGGAACTCAGGATCAAGCGAAACATCATTTTTATAGGCCCCCTACACCTGGACCAAGGAGAGTCAGGCAAAAGAAATCTGTGATAGGGAGTGTGACCTTAGTATCTGAAACTGAAGTACAAGAGAAAATGATTGGGCAGTTTTCCTATAGTGAAGAAAGGAAAGATGGGGAAAACAAATCTGAGTATCACATGTTCACACGTTCTTGCAGTAAAATGTCATCAGTATCCAACAGACCAGTACTTCTTCAAGTTGATAACAATGAGCAGGTGGAGTCATCTTTAGAAAGAAAAAAGGAAAGCAGACTGCTCAAATCAAACGCACTAAGTGCTGGTGTTGTAGAAATTACAAGTCAGAAGATGTTAGAGATGTCCCATAATAACGGCTTGCCACAGACTACATCAGAAAACTCAGTTGTGGAGGAAGGTATAGTTGATAGTGTAACAGCCGACAACAAAACTAGTGTCAAGAATTTAAGAACTTATGGTAACACCAATGATAGATCCAGTCCTTTTTTAGCAGATGCAACTCATTCTTCAGGTAACAACTCTGGAACTGACAAAACTATTTCAGAGACCCCAGCTTCAGTAGGATCCTCTACTGTCACCACAAGAATTGACAAACTAATTAGTGAGTTTTCTCAGTGTGGTTTAACAAAACTTCCAGAAAACGAAAAGCAGATTTCATCATCTGTTGCCAGCAAAAAGAAGATGAAATCTCAGCAGCATGTGATAAATTCCAAGCATCAGGGTGGGGAGGTTGCAAGGAAAGAAATCCCCAGGAAGAGTAAAAGAATAAACACAAGAGGTAGAATTGCACAGGAAACCGTACTGCAGGATTCACGTAGTCCCCTTAAAGGAGAGCTACTTTGTGAGAAAGACCTCCATGCAAGTGATACGGTAATTGAATCAAATTATTCTTCTTCCAAAAGTAATAATGCTGTGAATTCCAGGAATCTCCCTAGAAATAAATTAAATACTATTCATAATCCTAAGGTTCAGGGACTTTTAGCCAAAAGAAAATCCAGACCACTAAACAGAGTAAACTTAGGAGAACCTACAAAAGGAGAAATTGGTCAAGGAGAAAAAGTGTTTTCCCATAATGAATTTAGATATCGCAAAAATACTTTTGAAAATCAAAATTTATTTCATATGTTTAACTTTCTTGAGCAGAAACCCAATGCTTTTTGCGGTCCACAGGCTCAAGCAGAAATAGCATCTTGGTATTTGAGAGGAGCGTCAAAGAAGAGTTTAGTTTCAAAAGTTAATAATTCACACATAACTTTAAGAAGCCAGAAAAAACAAAAAGGGGATAGGTTGAAATCAGATACTATTGTATGTAAACAGCATGTCACAACCAGGGCAAATTCCTTAGCTTCTTTGCAAAAAGCTGTTTTTCCTGAGGCTATTACCCATCATTCAGTTCAAAATTATGTACAGAGATGGTTGCAGAACATAAGTTCAGATTCAGCTTTGCAACCTAGACAGTCAGCTCCAATATGCACAAAGGAAAGGAGTGTGGTAGGTTATAACAACAGTTGTTTTCCAAGAAATAATTCCCACAAAAGTTCTGGAAAAGGAAATAATTTTGTCCTGGAAGGTAATAAACATATGACTGAAAATGCCAGTTTGACAGGAGATAATCTAGGGAAAGAGGTCGGTACATCTTTTGACAAAGATAACAGTGAAGAACTTAGCAAAGATCTCTATGGGAGCCAGGTTGAATCTCTGAAGGATGCTTACTTGCTTTCCATCCATGAATATCGTACTTTGTCACAGTCAGCTATTGATGATGCTAATACTAAAAGTCAGGTATCTGATGAAAAGTCAGGACAAGAGGTAAGCCTTGTCTACAAAGACATAAACCTAGCTACAAAAGGGCAAAGTGTAGAGGCTGCCATTCAAGTAGATCTTATGGAAGAGGACACTCCAAAACACCTGTTACCAGTCTGGTTGCTTCGCCAACTGCAAGCTTTAGTTCCTAGTAGTCACAAGACTCAGAATGGAGTTGTTCAAATGCCAGGTTCACTTGCAGATATTCCCTTTCCTTCTCCGATATATAATTCATCCACTAATGTTCTTCTGGCTTGGCTCCTGGTGCTAAACCTAAAGGGAGGTATGAATAGCTTCTGTCGAGGTGATGCTCACAAGACTACCAGCAGAACTTCAGAAATACTTGCGTTGTTGGAGGTTCTGAAGCACATTGCTGTCAAAGAGGAAGCAGATGACTTGAAGGCTGCTGTTGCCAGTTTAGTGGAATCAACCACAAATCACTTTGGACTCACTGAGAAAGAGCAGGACATGGTTCCAATAGATCTTTCTGCAAATTGTTCTACACCCAACATTCAGATAGCTCCTAAATGCATTGAAAATGAGAAAACACAGAAAATCTCCTCTTTAGATGGAGGCTGTTCTGCCAGTGAGGACAGTGTCTCTGAAGTCTGTGTTTCAGAGGGGACTTGCTCTCCATGTGAGATGTGCACTGTGAATAAGACTCATCCTCCAAAAGAGACTTGGAACCTCAGTGATAATTCTTTCCCCAGTGATGGCTGTACCATGGATCAGACCTCCATGAATAAGGCTTGTTTCCTAGGAGAGGTCTCTTCCCTTACTGACACTGTGTCTTCTCATAAGCCTTGTGCTTATGAGGAAAACCGTATCTGTGAGATGGCTTGCTCAGTTGATGAGGCCTACATTCCCATCAAAGTCTGTAATACCAGTGACTTTTTAAATTCCAAAGAAAACACATATACTGATAATTTGGAATTGACCGAAGAGTTAGAAAGAGTTGGTGAAGTTCAGAAAGACCTAAGTATTTTGGCAGGCCCTGGGTGTAAACATGGCTTTAGTATATTGGTGTCACACCAAAATGTCAGTAATTTAAGCCACAGTGGCTTTTTCCAAGATGCAACTGAACCAGAACTTCATAGGAAACATAGTTCTCTAGATGAATTTGAAAATTGTTCATTAAAGAAATTTCAGGATGAAAATGCATATACATCTTTTGATAAGGAAGACTCAAAGACTTCTGAAGAACCAGGCTCAATAACCAACAGCGTGACATCAAGTGAAAGAAACATTTCAGAATTGGAATCTTCTGAAGAATTAGAAAACCAGAACACTGATATCTTTAATACAAAGGTAAATTCAGGAGAGCAAGCTACTGAAGAATTGATCCAAAAAGAGTTAGAGGCTAGTAAAAATTTGGAATTGATCAAAGTCTCTAGCAGGAACATTACAGAAGGAGGAGGAAGGAAAGGTGTCATTTGTGAGACAATCGGTAGGAGCCTGGCAACACCACCGTCTTTAGTATTTTGCTATGATTCTAAGCAAAATACTGAAAAGCAGCTCATTGAAGGAGAAACTGAAATGAGAGTAAAAAAGATGGTGGAAAGCGTGGAAACTGGAAGTTTTGCAGAGTCTCTCCTTAATTTTAAAAATGACTTCAAAAGGTCAGGGACTTCTGATCGGTCAGATTATAGACAAGACAGTGAGAATGAACAGTCATATAAAACATCCAGTGATGGCCCCAGTGACGGTGGTGAGGAGGTGGCCCAAGAGAAAGACTATAATAAAGGATTTGTTAAAAGGACAATAGAAAAACTTTATGGTAAAGCAGAGATGATGAAACCATCTTTTTTCTCTGGGTCTACACATACATCTCAGGTTTGTCCTTATGATTCTGTGGAATTTCAGGGTGCTGGGAAAGTAGGTCTTTATGATTCTGAAGGTCAGTCATTTGGCTCTTCTGGACAGGTATCTAGTAATTCAACTGTGTTGCAGAAATTTCAGGAGGAAAGGCGAGATAAATGTGATTTTAAGAATGTGAGGGCCAGTTACCATGGGGAAGACATTGTGGAACATGGTACTGAACAAAATGGTCATAACAGAATTCCCAGAGACATGGAAGAGGGGGTACTGATTGACAAGGGCAAGTGGCTTCTGAAAGAAAATCATTTGCTAAGAGTATCATCTCTTGAAAATTCTGGCATGTGTGGCAATGCAGACACCACATCAGTGGATACTCTACTTGATAATAACAGCAGTGAGGTACCGTATTCACATTTTGGAAATTTGGCCCCAGGCCCAAACATGGCTGAACTCTCCTCTTCAGAATTGGAGGAACTGACTCAACCTCCTGAACTGAGATGCAATTATTTTAACATGCCTCATTGTAGCGACTCTGAGCCTTTTCGCGAGGATTTGCTGGATGTTCAAAGTAAAACTTGTTTTCAGGAGAGAATACCAAACCACCATGCAGAAGAGAAGTGTAATCATAGGTCAGAGAGAGTATGCACATCTGTCACTCATGTCTTCACATCTGCTGGTAACAAAGTTCATCCTGTCTCTGGTAATACTATTAAAAACCAACCATTGCCTGGTAATAATGTAATTCATGGTGCACTTCAGGAAGGTGACTCTTTGGATAAACTCTATAATATTTGTGGTCAACATTGCCCAATACTAACTGTTATTAACCAGCCTGTAAATGAGGAACACCGAGGATTTGCATATTGCAAAGATTCTGATATTGAAAATTCTTTGAGTCTCCAATTATGGATGAAAATACACCCACGTTTACTACAGTCAGACAAAAACATGTTCAGAGATAAGAACGATAAATCAAGTAGTAGAAAAGCGTTTATTGATAATGCCATTGGCGGGACATTTGATGGGCTTTATTTTAATAGCACATTTGACTTGATGGATAAAAGGAGAAAATTAAAAAGAATTAACTTCTTGGGCTTAGAGGAAGAAAATAATTTAAATAAGTTTCAATCATATTTAAAGAATTTCTTGCACACATTGTTGCTAGTTGGGGGTCCTGTGAATTCAAATATACAAGACCCTGGAAATCAGACAAATGAAATCTTTGAAGTAGTTGATGAGAATAACAACGTCCTAAATCACAGATTCCAGAACTCAAGAGCAAATCTCAACCAAGCAGTCAGAGAGAATGACTATCACTGCTCCTGTGAGGTGCTTGGCCAAGCCTGCCTGTTCTGCCAGGTTGAGGCGTCCTTAGATATCAGCAACAGAAGCACATTAGAAATATTTTATGTTTTTGAAGATGAAAATCTTTCCATTTGGGAAGAGGAAAACTAAGTAAATTGAACTGGTCTTGAAAGCCGTGATGAACAAGAAGGTCTCTCATTTCAATATCAGCACGGCCTTTCTTCATGAGAAAGATGAAGCACATGGGATGGATGTGGATTAGATAACCTCTAAGAATTTGCCACTTCTTCAAAAGGAGCTTACCCCAGAAATCTTGCCACTGGATTATCCATCTTGACTTTCATCATTTCTGTGTTCTTCATTTTTTCAGCAATTACAGACTCAGTTTCTATTCTGTTATTTTTGAAGTTCCTGTGTGTTTTTTTCTTGAGCATGTATAATTTCTTGTTTCTGTTATTTTTCTCCTAAGACACCATAAATGCCCCGAGGACAGGAATTATACCCCCCCCCCCTTTTTGTTATGTTGTCAACTTAGTGCAAAATGTGTATTGAAGATATTGGTGAATTAATGGAATAGACGTAGCCTCAAATTACTTCATTTATTAATTTTAACTGCTGATTTGATAAAAGTCTGTAAGATCTCAGCAACAATCTCATAAGTTTTTTGTGTGTGTGTGCCAAATGTGTTGAATCTAGTTCCCTCAGAACATCTGTCTAATGTCCTTGCAAGCATTTCCATGGGAGAGGATTCACTGTTTTTCCTCATGACTAGAAAAAGATGCTGTACTACTAAGCTGGCTCTCCAGTACTTTGCCTAGAAATTAATGATCTCTTAAACATTAGTAAAATGTCAAGAAATTCACATAGGTCAGAAAAAAGTGGAAAAGTGTAAGGCATGCTCTGTGAAGAAAAATGAAAGGAACTGGAATGATTTAACTTGGAAAAGAAAAGAGAAAGGTGACTTCACCCAGAGTTCTCAAAATTGAAAAAGAACTGCTGTGGAGAGGAACTTGACAGATTTCTTTCTGTGTCCACCTGCATTAATAAAATATTTAACTAGATATAAATAAAAACATGTTGCTTAGAAGGATAAATAAATTTGATTAGACTAAGAACCATAAATTGTCTCTTGATTACTTGTTATTTTTGCCTGGGGCTTAACCAGGGTATCTTTTAAGGTTCCTTGTTCTTCATGACCATTTGATGGTATAGAAACAAGTCTTATAAAATGTGGGAATTTATGTCTCTTGTCTGGAACTGACTCGAAATAGAAAAATTAATGTTTTTGGAGCCACACACAGAGGTGCTAAAATAACAAATTTGGCATTGGGGAGCTAAAAGGAATTACCTGTGTAAGGAATACCTTTGGTTGCAGTTCAGCATGAGTCATAAATCCATAAAAAATTATGCGTTGCTATTTATTTAACCAGAGGAAGTCTACCTCTACATAGAGTATGACTTTTCTACATTGTGATACACTCTTCTAATTGAAATACGGAAGTTGTTATGTAAGCTTCTGTAATGAGCAATGAGAAATTTTGGTGAAATAAAAGGGCTAAAACTGTGGAGATATACATGCACTTAGCTTTACTGCACTTTGCAGCTACCGCGTTTTTTACAGATTGAAGGTTGGTGGCAACCTTGTGTCGAACAAGTGTGTCGGGCACATTTTCCCGACATTTCCACATGTTCCCTTTGTGTCTCTGTGTCATATTTAGGTAATTCTTGCAATGTTTTAAACGTTTTCATTATTAATATTTGTTGATTTATGATTAGCGATCTTTGATATTACTATTGCAATTTTTTTTGCTTTGTATTTTAAAAGTATGGCATGTATATTATTTTTTAAAGATGTAATGCTATTACATCCTTAATAGGCTATGGTGTAAACATAACTTTTATGTGTACAGGGAAACAAAAAAATTTGTATGACTTGTTTTATTGTGACATTCACTTTATTACAGTGCTCTAGAACTGAACCTGCAGTATCTCCCAGGTATTCCTGTGATAGAAAGGGGAGGAGAATTAACACTAAAGTTGTGCTAACTGTATACCAGGGGCTATGGTAATCTTATGGGTTTATTATCTGTAACCCTTCCTCATAAAGACGCTGTGAGTTTAGCTTTGTTGCTCCCTTTTTATAGATGAGAGCCCAGAAGCAGGGAGGTAAAGTACTTTTGTCAGTGGTGCACAGTACATATGTCAGGATTTGAACCCAGTCCCTTTGTGCTTGAAAGTCAATGCTACTTTTACTACATTTTTATTCTTCTCACGTGAGGAAGAAGGAGTAAGATGTTTTAAAAGTTATTAGCACTCTCCCCAGAGCAGAGAGACAAGGAAATTATTTTTCTTTTTAATTTGGAAGGAGTGATATTTAGATGTACCAAGGAGATTGGGGAAATCACTCACAACAACGAGGAGCTTTTAGGAAAATGTGGCATGTAGCACATGGTTTTTAGTAATACTACATCAAATGATGTCCTAGGAGACCCAGACGATATTGGGAAGAAGAACTTGGGAATGACAGAAATGAATGGGTAATGCACAACTGTGTAATGTACTTGTCTAAAATGAACATGTTCGGAGGCATTGAATTCTGTCTGAGCTTTGGAACCAGGTCTTACTCACGTTGATATCCCAGATCTCGCATATTACTTGGGATGTGGTAAGCACCTCGTAAATGTGTGTTGAATAGATAAGAAGTGCTTTTGAGCGCTCTTTCTTTATTAACTTCGAATCCATACATGTAGAAAGATATGTAAAGATGCTGAGGGATAGAACTAAGTTTCTTATATTTTTTGAAGCAATATTCCAATCATCTTTAAAAGAACGTGAAAATGATTTTTTTTAAACATTCAAAGGATTTTTTTTCACAAGGCTTACATTAAAAAAAAACCTTGAAAGGCTGTGAAATTTAGAAGACCAAATGAGACATTAGAGGGAATTTAAGAATATTGCCCAGATCTGCCCGCCTTCGAGATAAGTGCTTGCGGCAGAGGGAGGGGCGTTAGCCTGCTGGTTCAGGGGAATGTCCCCAGGGCGGGCTGATGCAGTTCCCGCTTGCGCCCACCAGATGGCAGCTGTGCCCCGTGCGGCCGGGAGCTAAGACCACCTCGGGGGGAGGCTTCCCGGGCTCGCGGGAGCACCTGCAGCGCCTCAGGCCCGGGGCGGTCAGGCGGGCGGACGGGAAGGGGGGGGGCAGTCCGGGGGCTGTTTGCTGCTGCTTCAAAGAGCTGAGGACCCAGTTGTGCAGGCAGCCCCAGGTCTTAAAGCCCTGGAAAGCCCTGGAGGTATAGAAGTGTTCGGAATGAAAGGAAAGGCACTGTTAGCAAGGAGTCTAAGTTCGCAAATGGAGGGGCTATGACGGGGAACGCCGGCTGTCAAGACTCCTCGGAGCCGGCGCCAAGGAAAGCCTGGGGAGAGTGGGAGCAAAGAGCAGACGGACCCCTACGTCGAGCGGAAGCTCGGTTAGCGAGCTGTTGGCCCGGCGGGTAGGGGTCGCTCTCACATGAAGCTGTCAGACGTCTTACCTCTTCACCTTTCAGTGATACGCAACCCGTGTCCCGTTTTCAAGGTTTAGACTGGGGTGTTGACGCTGGGGTCCATGCGGGCGGCGCTCGATTTGTCGGTTTCCTCATCCGTAAAATGGGGCCCCGTGCGGAGCTGCCTCGTGAGACGGCGGAGAGGCTCTGGCGAGAGTGGCTGAGGCTCGAGGCTCAGAGCTTGGCCCGGAGCACCGGGTACGTCTTGCGGCCCCCGGAGGCGGTGCGCCCCATCCGGCCCCGCTGAAGGCAGCTTCCATCAGGGGCTCTCCGTGCGGGGCCCAGCGCTTTTCATGCTGCCTCCTCGGTGCCGGGACCTGGACCAGCGCCGCAAGAGCAGAGCCTGGCTTCTCCTGGGTGTCAGCTCTGCTGTTAAAAACCAGGCGTGGGGAGGGCTTGTTTCCTGGGGCGGTTTCCCTAGGCTCGGGAGCTCGATCCAGGCTTGGACCCTCTTGCTCCCCGGGGGGACCTCCATGGCTGTGACGTCCCTCACACTTGGGGGTCGCCACACGAGGGCTGGGGGGTGGGTTCTGACTAGACCGCATCTCTGCCCCTCCCACCTGTCTTGAAGTGGCCTTTTCTTACTTATACCCTTCGTTGTCGAACACCTGTCCCCCTAGCCTCCAGGTCTTTCTCAGAGATAATCGCTCTGTGTGTAGCTTTAGTGTTGGTGTGTGTGCGAGCAGGGGAGCGCAGGATCTTCCCGCTCTGCCATCTTGATCTGGAGCCCCAGTTCCACATCATTTGTATGATATCGGGAACTCTTTTACAGTCACATGTAAACACAGGACCATTAGACAGTGGAAATTCTCAAAAAGGTAGAGTAATTACGTGAAGAATGACTTGGGCCAACGGGAAGCCCTAGTTTTGTTGTTTTGTGCCTTTCCTTACTTTGGCCCTATTCACCCATTCGTATGCACCAGTGTGCACGCTGAGCTCTCCTGCGTTTCACAGAACGTACACTCCCCCGCCCCCCTTCCAGAGGTTATGGTATAGGATGGCCTTATGGGGGTTCAGGGTGGTGCTCTCTTCCTTCTGGAGGTTCACAGGGAAGGTGGCTTGATTGGCAGCCCACCAGGCGTAATTATAATGTAGACCTTGACAGGGGTCAACAGATGGGCTTAAGCTGACTGATACGAAGAATGTGGAGTGTCTTGATGGAACTGACGTAAACCTTGAGTGGCCTTGAGTGGGGTGGGAATGGGGTCCATCCACAGTGACTGCCTCATTGCAGATGCTGCAGGCACCGCGTGCAGCCGCGCCCGCTGGTTTCTGCCGGGCGAAAGGAACTAGCGCCAGAGGTGGGCCTGCACTGGCAGGTGGTCCGGCTCAGGAGTTTTACTTCTTTGGATGACAAATCCTTCCCCTTGCATTTTAATTTTTTAATTAAAATTATACATGTATAAATAGTTTTTAAAAATCAGGTAGAAGTACAAGGCTCAAAATAAAAAAAATGTAGACCACTTTCTGACCCTTTACATATAATTTCCACTCCACAGAGGCATTTATCTTTAAAACGTTTAGCTTTCTTCTATTTATGTATATCTAAGATACTGGTATTTTTTCAATTTTAGATTTTGCCTGTCTGTTGATATCCTCCACCTCCCACCTTCTACTTCCTGTCTCTGTTCCTCCCAATAATGTTATAATTAAAAAAACAAACACTATTCTGAATTTTTATTTTAATTACCATGCGAATATTATTCCTGAAATGAGCCTCTTAGTGTATTTGGACTATAATTCCTTTCTCGAACTATTCTTTGTTTTCCCTGAACTTTAAACCTGACCACTGCTCATTCATTACCAAACCCTTTTCCATGGTGGAAAATCCCTGTCATCGTAGAAGTGCGTATCAGTTCTTCCATTGGACCATTTTTTTTTCCCTTGGGGACATTAGTTGTCTTGGAGACATTCTTCATAAAGCCC